CACAACAGTACAGACATTGTCTTTTCATTTCCGTATAGCAATAACAATTACAGCAACCTACACGTTTTCTTATTCAGTGCCTGTCTCATGCATATGACACGACTGCATCTCAAGAAACGATCATCTATTATTGCGCGTCCTATTTACGTTTGCACATCTCAGTCTCTTAGTTCCAAGTCCTTGACACCCCATAAGGGAAGCACTGACCTACTTAAACTTCCTGACCTCTTAAGACGGAGGTAGCAAATAACCCAGTGTTTTACATTGAACAGATAAACGTCTTTCAAAAGATTAATGCTAGTATTATCCTACGCAGATCTAGGCAGGATTAGGCCCACGCTCGCATTCTGTCGTGCATTGAATCCATCTTCAGCAGCCTCCAAGGTATGTTGAGGTTGCATGGATTAAAGTTTTGCGTCCTTCAACGAGCCTTTTGTTCTGTATGATGTTTCCTGATGTTGCATTTTGATGTTTATACAAATGTTTACAAGGTCCTTTTTGCAAATGTAGGTTTGTATTCAAACAAATACTTCTTTGCGTCTTAAATTATACGCTGAAATGTATTAGCGACTTCATGAACAAAACAAATGAAACGATGCAAGAATATTTAGCTCCTTTGATATTAATGCCATCAGCCTTGCGGAGCTCTTTCGCACCCAATTCGAATAGAACATCAGCGAATTATTTACACCGAACATCCTCGTGTACCGGTGTACAATTCGCAAAAATAAAACGAGATTTATCTTTCAAGACTGTGATTTACGCGAGTGCTAACAGTTATCAGCGATTTTTTACACAAAGCGTTAATTAAAAATGTTCTTCATAAATCTATTGGGTGTATATTGTAGAAACCGCGAAATGGGTCAAGGTCCTGTAGACATTAATTTTGATTCTTTTATAGAGGATCTTTTTGTTGAAGGGTACGAAAACATTTGGACCACCCGTTGGATCACTTTGTCTGCTATCCGAGGAATTTTCTCGTGAATATCTCATGATTATGATTGGTTCTGTCATGTCAGAATGCGTGGGAGCTGACTGATGTCTGGATACCAAAACTGCGACCTTCCTGGTCTTACAAGGTCCACAATTATTAGAAGTATATTTATGACACACGTTTTGTTTTCAAACGATTAACTCGTCGAGTACCGGTTTTATAGACACAATTAAAGAACAATGGGTCGCGGTCACCGGTGACCGCTTGGTGTTTGACAGTTTAAACTGGAGTAACCTTCGTTCAGATCTTATAGATTGCTATTATATTTAAGAGCGACGTTTATCAGGGACGGTTGTTACGTTTTTCCTGTACATTTAATCGGATGGTGGTAAGCCAAGATCCTTCCGTTATTCTGTATTAATACTGTAATATTCCATCATAACTGTTTCATAATAGTAGGTATTTTGTAAGCAGTTACTGAAGGATTTTACTCAGCGTGGCGAATTTCGAAAGTTTGTGTTTTATCTTATCGTTTTAATTAGGTGTGTTCTAAGCGGTAATTAATTGGACCTCTCTACCGTGCTTCCATAGCATAGCTAGGTGGAGGTTGGCTTAGCTAGATTTAATACTTACCCATAGCTAACAAAAGCCTTATTACTCAACAGTAATAAGCTTATAATGCCTCGTTGGCCGAGTGGTCGCAAGTGTGACTACCGGGCAGTGGTCTCGGGTTCAATTCCCCAATTCCCGAGTCGGGTAAAATGCACGTGGATTTTTTTTAATCTCAGTGGTAGCACAGAGCCTGGAATTTTTCCCGGTATATGGCAATAAGCTCACCCCCTTTTACGTGGGACTCATAATATAAATAGTGAAAAGTGAGTGTTACATTGTAGTGGCATTAAATGCTGTAATGTGCACCTCTGCTTACCTCTTTGGGATAAAAAGCGTGATGTCATGTTAAGTAATAAGCTTACAAAGTTTCAACATTTGATTTGGCCAGTCAACTAAATTCAAAATATTGAAAATTGTACCTTAAAAAAGGTACCTTAAAGGTTTCTTTTTACTTAAGTAAACTAAAATATGTTCCATATGACATAAATCACATAATTCTCTCGTTGTAATACCTAGACCATGTAAATAAGTACATATATAGTACATAGTACGCCGTATCGTACATAACTCATCCAAGTTGGATTCCGTCCCAGATGCATTCTGATTTATACGACACACGCCAACAGAATCATTTCAAGCAATCCTTTTGTATATTTACATGACTCGTGTAACTTACATAACATAGTAGTGGGTACCCTCAACTTGAGAATCAATACATTATGTTGATTTGTATTATGTAGATACATATGTACTATTTAATAAATTGAGCACATTATTCATTTAACTCTTTGAGTACCGTCATTATAGACACAATTAAAGAACAATAGGTTGCGGCCACCGGTGTCCTCGCGGTATTTTACAGTTTAAAGTGAACAAATCAAAGATTAGTTTTTGATTTAGTATTTTGCCTGCTTCGTTTGGTTGCCTTGTCACTATTGACATTGTGAACTTACCTTTAGCCAAACGCCACTTTAGCGCTTGTCTACAGAGAGAGTACAAAACTAAATGTATGGGGATGACACTGACAAGTGTCAAAATTTACGTCAATCCCATATAATTTGGTATTCTATTCTACATGTAGAGAGACAAGCGCTAAATGGCATTTGGTTACAGCTGCAGGTCTGATCAATGAATTAAATAAAATATTAATACGTTTAAGATTTTAATATTCTTAGAGAAAACGAAAATTGAGATAGACTTCAAGTATATTTTGTATTCATAATAACTATTGTGAGACATATTAAATAAACTAAAAATCGCGGGTTCCTCACGTGAATATACTGAGAAAAGCTCTACTAGTTTCGAACCACAGAGGGGTTCTTCCTCATGAACAGCGCAGCCTACTGACAGCCACCTACTATTAGTAGGCTGCGCGACATCGCCGCGACCGCGCACGCTTTTTAGTTAATTTTGTTTACAGCTCGTCTTTTATAATATCAACTTTACACAAGATTATTCTACTTACGCCTTCTGAGAAAACAAAGTCTTAAAGCTACTCATATTTAAATTAAGTAAAATCGCGGGCTACTCACGTGAATATACTGAGAAAAACTCTACTAGTTTCGAACCACAGAGGGGTTCTTCCTCATGAGCAGCGTGCGCGGTCGCGGCGACGTCGCGCAGCACACTCAGTGGTTCGAAACTAGTAGAGCTTTTCTCAGTATATTCACGTAAGTAACCCGCGTTTTTATTTAATTTAGTATGTCTCACGATGGTTACTACTCATATTTTACTAATTTCCCAACAATTTCCCTGATCATACATAAGATTAAATCACAGATTAAATGTAGAACAGAATACCACTAAACAGCTCTTACTCTGTCAACAGCCACACTTAAAACTTACCTACATGTAAAATAACACAATTTAATCGCACATTATGTTTGCAAACTCATTTGAAACATATACGTATGTAATTTTATTAGATGCAGTAAAACCTGAATGTCATATAACACAAGGCTGTTAACACTTTGCTACACTTTTATTTTAAGGAAAATGATGAGGTGTTCATTAACAACAGAAATTATGGAGTTAAATTACTTAGATAGGTACTGCTAATTACTATCTTCTTGCTTCTTGTTGATGTGGAGGTAATTGTGAACCTAATAACTACAGGTTTTGGATTTTGAAACTGATTAATAACGTTTATCTGGGACTTCTGGCTGATCTCTTAGTTGCAAATAAGTATTATCAGTTTTCAAAAAATATACATTGAGTTTAGTACTTCATTCTGTCTTATTTGTCTAATCAATTCAGATTATTCAGATTTATAACACCTATATTACGCCAATTACTACAAATATCAGTGTTATATATTTCTTTCTCAAAACAAAATGTCCCTGTTTTACAAAAAAAACAGTGTTTTTCTGCGATAAATATTGTACAGAGGTGAAATGTCAAAGCTACAGGTGAATATTTCACGATGGAGCCCGGATGTGGCTACGAGCCAATAGGACGTTATTTCCTGTGCTCGAGAGCCTACCACATAAGCACAGATCTACATTGTCTATTACGTTTTCATAGGAACGTGTATATGCTTGATAAATAAAAAAATACTATAGTTTTTAGCTCATGAATAAAGGACATATGCATTGAAATAATTTAGAAGAGCTAACTTCAGTCGAGTCTAGAAACTTGCAAATTGTTCGTAATTTCCATGTCTTAAAACGTAAATCTACCTAGAATATTTCCCATTGATTTGTGAAGGAAGATTTCCACTGTGTTCTGTTGCATTTACAACAATAGAATCATTCACAATACCTCTATTTGGTAAGGAGGTGTGAACAAATGACTAATGCATACCCCACGGTCCATGCAACTAGTGCATGGCCACCGCGTGGCGAACAAACCCTGTTTACAATGATAACACCATAAATTACGAAACACAAAGCACACAACTAACAAAATCAAAGTTCTCATCACTCTATGAATCAACGAACCACTTCTACATAAGAAAACATCGAACTTACACGATATTAAAATTAAACACTTAATTCATTACGCTACCCTGATTTAGAATTACTACACCGACATAGTAAAATAAAAATAGTTCATCTTCCTGCAAAATGGAAAAATGTGGGTAAAGATTGATACAAAGCTTTCCGAGAAAGCGGTAAACTTGAAACAACCTGTGTGGATCTCATTTATGATCTCCTAACGATACTTTCTCAAGAATTCATCATACAGGCGACACTAATACGATTCCAGTAAAAAAATATGTTCTAATTGGAAGTTTTGGGCGGCTAGGGCGGGCGGGGCGACTTGCCGGAGGTAGGAAAAGCGAAGCGGTCGACATTCGCACGACTGCCGGCATAGCGGTCGCACGCGTTCACTCGCGCGGATCTCAGGCGCTCCCGTGCGCCTTTATACAAGTGAATTTGTGTATAAGTGTACAAAAAACATTTAAATATTAGTGACAATTCATGAAAAACAATAAAACTGTGCTCAGTGTAAGATGACATTAGACAGAGGTGAGAGTTTCGTTAACAAGATACAACCGGCGGCTTCTGTGTCCTGCCTCTCGCAGTGTCAAAACATTTTCGGGAAAAGGCTGAAGCGTTGGGGCTCCACGGGATCGTGGGTAAGCAGGGCTTGTTGAATATTATATATCACATAGACCGTGAATTGTTTTCTATCTGTAGCTATCAGATACAATCAAGCACATAGGCTAACATTTCAAATTTAGTCTTTTGTTTATTTATATTTTCAATTTAGTCAATACTACAGATCTAATGTCGACTTTATGACCTTATTGTTAAGGTTCACAGGTATCTAAACAATTACAACAATTGAATAATAATAAACAAATCATTAAAGAATTCCTAATCCATTCTTTCGACGTAAGTGTTCATGTGACTCCTGTTTACTCTTTAAACTTGGCATAGCTTGATGTTGTTCATAATTACAACTATCTACATTATGTTGAGCCCTTATATACCATAATACTAATATTAGTAAATGTTGATATTTACTATAAATATTCTGAAACATCCAAATTCTTAAAACATCCTTTAAGTAAGTAACAATTTATTATTGAAATTACGTTAACCTTATTATGAATGTTGTTGCATTTCAAAACATACGCAATTGGGTAATAATATTATCATTACATATAAAATTACCTGTAAACATTAATAAATAAATAAACAATAAGTACACATAGTCATAAAAATTACTGAATCATTCCGGTGTTTATTTTCGCATTATACACCTTAACCTCAATTCGTCTTAAATTGTAATTATTTTTTAGTTATTGATTTCGTAATACTTCATACTGAAAACAGAAAAGAGGTATGGACCATAGAGGTATATAGAAAAAAAGTACAACGGTGTCTGTCTACTAAATTACAAATGTCAAAATAGAGAAGATAATCCCTATTTAGTTCTTACTATCTTTTATAAGTTTATCATCATCGTACTTATCAACAGCCAGCTTTATGACTTACACAATACTATTCCACTTCCATACACTTACTTACAAATCGACACAAATGTCTATGAATAGACTTAATTAAACAAATTAAAAAATATGCTAAATAACCGTACCTTACGCAATATGTTTACGGTTTTACGGTTTTCGTAATTAATCGCGTGTTTAAAGTTACGAAACGTTAAATTTGAAATTGCAAATTCCGTTAATATTCTGCTTGATCCTGACTAGTTCAAATTTTTAACGGTTTTTTAAGGATAAACAGGATTGTGGACATCTGGTTAGCTGTTGCTATGCTGGGCTTACATCATGGTTTATAAATTTTAGTTTTTAGCTAGTATGAAATCATCTCTAACTAATTCTTTTATGACTGGGTATTTTATAAGACTGCGGCTATGTTTGAGTATATTTCTTTTGTGGAGTGGTTTTAACATATTCTTTGTAAGAAATATATTTTTTTTTTCAACTTTAAACTTACCATTGTAATATGAAATAGTTAAATAACCATAAGATCTTTATTAATATTTTTGGTACCGTTTTTATTATGCATAAGGTGTTACCTATAATTATTGTTCTACTTGTAAATGTTTCTCTAGCCGTTTAAGCCTTCTAATTTACATATAGTGTAAACAATTTGGATGATGACAGGATATGAAAATTAAAAATATAATTAGTCAGTAAGTTAAGTACCTAATGAAAAAATATTAGACACGTATTTTTTTATTTTCTCGTATAATAAAACAATACTTTGATAAAACGAATCAAAGTTTAGGAGTGGGGGCTAAAACGTCATTTCTACGTATAAAATTTACATAGAAGTGACGTCACGCGACATTTCAAATCAATATACCGTCGAAAGTAATCGTTTCTGTAAGAAAATAAAAAATACGTGTCTAATGATTTAAAATAATCTACCAGACGGACATTAAAATAAAAATTAGACATCTCCCCTTTTGTTGGTTAGCTAAAATAATATGAAATGGTGATGGGTAACTTCTACTAACTACCTACTTGAAGAAAATAAAGGGTGTGGCGGTATTCCTTACCTCGATTAACACCATTTTTAGTTGCCACCTACAACACAACAATATTAAAAGACCCTTTAAGATAAGACATAGTAACAAGCTAATTAATCACGGCCTCATAACTAAACCCTTTGTTTATCAAACCATAAACCATGCTGGAAGCAACCCTTACAAATTATCCTTTGTAGAACACGAGCGAGCGTGAAACACGTACCTAACTTGTATACAAAGTCGGTAAAGGCACATAATTGTGCGAAGCTAGGAAGCCATATAGGGACAACCCAAATTGAAGGGTGGAGTGACCGTCACGTGACCGACACGGGACGGCCGCGTCATTTCCGTCAGCGTCGGCAAATGATGATGGGACTGTCACTACGTACACATATAGACTGTTTGTATGTATGTTTGTATGTGTGCGGTAATATGGCTAGGTTTGTCCTGTGTCGCTTAGAGGGTGAATTATTGTATGCGTAAATGAGTTTTCTTATACGTTTCATTTGAGTTTTCTTAATAAGATCAAATGCAGTGCTGACTTGACTGTTCATCAATTTAGCTCAGTAGATATAGGTGATTGATACGCGAATATTTTTACATGTTTGTATCGTAGTTTGTGGTATAGATATGAAAAGTTTATATCATTAATTCTAATTGATAGCCATCACACGCATTTCTTCGAACTCGTACGAATTCCTAGATTTTACCACAAAACGTTAAATTGATAGTTGGAAACGGACCAAGATAACACTTAGGTCGACCATTAAATTCTGTCTAGACTTTTACAGCAACTGTCTTATTATTTTGTTAAAGTAGGTACTAAATGTTATTATAACACATAGTCCTGTCTAAAATAGTGCTAGTTCATTGTACTAGTTCGACTATTAACTCAGTATTTTTAAATTACAGCTAATTCAGCTATTGTTAGTCATAGTACACTCACTTTTAGAGGCCTATTGTAATAAAGCTTGCGCCTAAAGTCTAAACTTAATGCCAGATTCTGTAAAATATCCCATGAAATCCTACGTAACTTGGAAAAACGGTAGGCGCCACTTACTATAATTTATTAAAGTTATAAGTAAAATTAAACTAATAATCTTCATAATTATTATATAAGGAAAATTTCTTTAAGCCTCAATGGACTTATAAACTATTCCTTAAAATTTGCAATTTTATATCATTTTTAAATATAAGACTATAATAAAAGAGAATATTCTATTCGACCACCTCCTTGTAGGAAATACAGAAATGTATTACTGTTATGACGCATGTTCTTAAAAAAACAAGGCATTAAGAACAGATTAATAAACACCATTATATCCTATTGATCATAAACTACAAAACAAACGGAATGCAATCTTAATTGACACATAACACGCAACGCAAAACGTGTTAAACAAGAAAAATAATGCGTTATTCAGTTATTTCGCTATTTGTCCGCAATTAACTACAAACACATAACATTGCGGATTAAATGAGATTGTAATACAAACATTACATAACGTTAATAACACAAATTAACAGTTATTTTCAATATTTACTTACCAATTACCGGTTTGTGAATAACAATTAATGACAAACCATAAGCGATACGCTTAATGATTCTAAATTTGAAATGACAGTTATTTTTCATCTGTCATTCAACCAGTGATGTGGTGCAGTGAACAGTGAAAGGAAATGCAGTATCTATTCTATAAAATTTATAATAAAATTAAACAAATAGTGAAGCGCCAGGTGAGTGTTACATTGTTTAGAAAATGTTTAATCGAAATATTAATAATTTAAACGATACCTTATTATACCTCTGTGTTATGTAAAACGAGTAATCGCAAAACATAAACACGTTGGTCAAACAACGTTTATTATTCCGATTTATGAGTTAGCTAGCTTCCGATTACGGAAAATGCCAGACTCTCGATAGGATCCATAAATTAGCTAAACTATTATTTACCAAATATTATTCCTAAACTCCCACTTACATAACTTTGAAGCGTTATGTTATTAGTGCATCCACTTTCATGTTTGAGGAAACTTTGAGAGAAACAGTATCTTATAATTTATTCCATATAACAGACGTCAAAAGTTTAGTGGACCGTGCAAACTTGTAAAGCTGTAAAGGTCATCTGTGTCAGTCGCTCAATCAGCCGTCTAGCCGTTAGCCCTAAAATAAATTGTGAACTAAAACTAGAGCCCTTTACTTTCTGATCGTATCGCGAGAGTTAATAATCACGAAAGTCAGCCGTTTTGCGTGTTCGAACGTGAAATATAAAAATAATAAACGGGTTGATAGAGGCTAACGCTCCCTGGGACCGTGTCGCGGGCTCGCGGTCCAAGTGACCGTGTCTATGGCGGGACCTTGCTGCGCCAAACTGGTCCGGATGCGCGGCGCAGGACTGGTTTCGCGTCCGTCGTCAAGTCCCACCAACACTTTACGTAATTTCACAAACGTAATGTCATTATCACTGATGTTTTGACTCGTGAATACTCTCTCCCTATATTTCATGTTAGAAAGTACGCGACGAATCAATTTGTTTAAGTTGGAGGTATTAAAAGACCTATTAGTTTGCGCCCACCCTGCTACACAAACGAGTTTGCGGTATTTCGTGTAGCTGCAAACAAATTCGTATCAAAGAAACCAAAGTTGTTAGGCGTACGATAAACCTAGATCCAAAATATTAAATTTTAATGAAAGATATCATTGACATTTTAGACTAAGATAATATATCAAGATAATCATTTAGCATTATGTCGTTGTTATGAACGCCTCTGTATACTTGACTATAAATACGTCAGAGCAATAAGACGGGAGCAGATTTTCATTTAAATCACAAAAGACATGACAGTTAGAACCCATAACAGTGCGTATGAAGACCGTATCTTCGGTAACTTTACGTAATGTCTACGAATAGTGACGCCCGACGTGGCTATAAAACGTATGAAACCCGTTGTCCCACATTAAGAATTATGCGAGACGATGCAATGCGATCGTAGCTAATTGTATAACTTAGATGCTAGTAGTAACCAATCAGTATTAAAGATCTAAGTCTTTATTGTTGTCACGGAGAACCTAACGGGTTACCGGGGCTCCGGCTCGACGTGCAGGGGAAGGAACGGGGTGGTTTTTAGCCAGTA